TGTCACTTCATCGTGTAATACAGCGGTGTTTTAGATTATTCCGATCGGATAGTGTTACCTTATCTTCCTAAGTTCGATATCTGAACTGTTACTATTCTTACATATACGAATGCTATCGCCGGATCATTGATTACAATGAATTAAAACACGAAAATCACTTTCACTGCTTGGTAGGTCCAACAGATTAACTGCCATGTCAGTTGCCGATGAAAATAATTATAATATTGTAGTATCTAGAATGTTCAGCGTAGTTTTAAGATATTTTTAAGAATTGTGAATGCGAGAATCAGTACGAGCGTAGGACCGTAAAGGAGAGAAGCCTAACGATCAAGGAAAAGTGGTCTACACAACATCGCAGGCTTTCAGTTAGGCTTCAAAGGGGTATGTTTCAGAGTTTGTGCGGAGTGTGAGTGAGTGCAATAATAATGATTCAATTCAATCAAATAATTTAATACTATATTCTTTCCGTTTTGTGTGTTTTGCTCCATGAAATCACGTAGTGGTCAATCGTGCTAATAACTTAAGACAGTTGATAAACGTGTAATGTAAAAGATTGCGATGCTAAATAATTAATAATTGTTGCTATGAGTTAACTTTCCTGTAAAAGAATCGTGTCGCGCAACATTCGAACGTCTCAGAACATAACAAGTAAAACACGTGGCTCAGTCGGTGCATTCACGTCCTCTATAGTTAGGCAAACTGGAATCTGATTATATATTAAAATTAATGATTAAAATGCACCTCGATTGCAAATTATCGCCTGTATTAACCAAGGTTGACTGCAATCGTCTCAATTTTAATTTAAGATTAGTAATAACCAACCATTGTGAAAGGTAATTTGGAATTCAATCAGTTGTTACATTTGAATTGAATGTAATCATATCACATTTTTTCCTAATTTTGATATCTTCGGGTCTTTAACACACTCGTTTGAGCACGCGATTGAAGAATTTGTCTAGAAAACACGGTAACCGCCAAAATTGGGAAATTTTGTTCTTCTGTTGTCTTGTAGTGTCCACCTTAAACCCCAAAATAATGATTAATTTACTGAACGATTAATTATTTACTCATCTTCAAAAATCTTCGACTACGAAAGGTTAATACGTTGACTGCCACGATATCTAAGATGTTTAATTTCGAATAGAAATGTTTAATAATTTGAGAAATTACTTAGTATAATGTACAAATTGTGATACCACATAACTAAAATTCTCGAGATTATCATGGCAGTCAATGTGGTGAAATTAAGAGATCAACTTGTTATATTGCACTCTAACACTAACCGTACGGTACTTTGTAATTGTTCTTAGTAGAAACTTAGTAGAAACGAAAGCAAAGACAAAAACAGAAAAACTAATTAATCTGACAACATAAGAATTGATATAAAGTTGAATAAGCGGAAAAAGCAAAATTTTTTATTTTAAAACCAGTCATTTGACCAGTTCGCGGCACACTTAATGTGAACGCTAGATCTACGTACATTTACTATACAATTTGTTGTATCGTCCTTAAAAAAATTGATATTGATTTTTGATTTCTGATATTGATATGATTTCGATTTTAGAAATGAAAACATTCAAACTAGACAATTAGAATACGTATTTGCGTGTTTGCGTCAATTAAAATCAATTCAAACATTTACCGAATAATGTTTATAAAATTCAATACGAGTTAAACTAGTTCGTTGCGTAAATCTAGTGTTAAGCTGTTCACTGTGCGATATAAAATGAAGAAACGAAGTGTGTACTCGTTAAACGCAGAACGAATGCACCTAGGGTAGATTTCAATGAAGAACCAAAGCAAAACAAAGAAGAATTACATGTTTATCTGAAAAAGCAATAATTCATTCAAGCTTCAAGATGACGTGTATACTCGTCAAACCCAGTTAATTAGTTAATTGAGCCAATTCTGCCCGACTTATCCCAATCTTCGATTCACAGACAGAAAGGGAACGCCAAGCGCGCACACGTCGCGCGGATCTAGTTTGTAGCCGCAGGTACATATTTGGCATTGACACGTGCGCGAACAAGTGAACCGTGTCCGCGGTTTCAGCGCTGCAGACATTTCCCGCCGCGTAAGCTGCCGCCGCGACCTCGGCCCGCAGGAGCGAGCTATCGCTATTCCCGGGCAGTGATAAGACGGCGAGCCTGCGAAATGCAGTTCGCCTTTCATGGCGCAGGCGATACAATCGCTAACTCCGTGGAACCAGAACCCCCGCTCGGGGACGTAACCGTGCCCTGGTGACGCGCCCCGCATCGCCATTTAACCCTTTGCACTTGATTTATTTGCAATGTTTGTTGGGTTTAACCCTTTGCGGACGGACGTCGACGTTTTCGCGAGATGTACTGTTCATATTTGGAATATTAAGTTGCAAACGAACGATTTAATTAGTTGAAGTGCAAGAGATCAGTGTATAGTTTCCCTTTTTTATTGTTTAAGCATTCGATGTATAATTTAGCATCATACGTTGCCAACTTTGTGTAGTTTAAAGAGTCTCCGTCTGCAAAAGGTTAGACATGTATTAACTTTTAGGGAAACGAATTCAAGCAATTTACAGCGGTAGAATTCAACGTTTTATATTTATTTTATTTATTATTATTATAGTAGAATTGAAGTTTGATCATTTTTTAAAGTGTGGTGGTTTTTCAAACAATTTGGAACGTTCTATAACAAATTCGTATTGCCATCACCAACATGACATGCGAGTGCACAGGGTTAACCCTTCCGCTGTGGATGACGAATCAACCCTTTGCGATCGCATACAATGAAAATAATTAAAATATAAAATTATGGATTAAGGTAAACCGAAACGAATCGGTTTAAAATAAGGGTCCAGTCTATATTCGTCGCGCCGAAAATTATATTTTTCATTTCTTGCTTCTTATTTGCGAAAGGAAGATTTAAGAATTTTTGTTGAATTCTTGTTAGCAAGATTTCAGTATTTTTAATTTTTTATAGAAGTTAAAAGAAAAAATGAAAAATTAGAATATTTGTTATTGAAATGGTTTCTGTATAACAAGGATCTGTTATTGTATTATATTCGTCTAACATTTGAAAGCAAGTCATAAACTTACTTTGTACAGAAAATTAATACGACCACAAGAGTTAACTCATCGTTCAAGCTGCATTTCGTTTCTCAGTAGTTCTTCGTTTTTGTGTTCATTTTCAAACCATGCCATACTGAAATGTATCGTTGCATAATACAATATTTACTGTATTAAAAGTGGAATCTCATTGTTGTCGTTGAAAAATGTGGATTCTTTAGTATTTCATAGAAAAACTATGAATAATTTTTAATTAAAACATTGCATATTTACTATACTTCCATTAAGTTTCATGAATTGTTCCAACTGTATTTATTTAGGAATACAATTCCTACAGTCCATAGGTATTCGCGCGACGCTTAAAAACTGCGCTAACATTCCTAAACAGGCGATTGTTTCGCCTCGAAGTATACTTTACAAAGTGCGTTTTACGGCTGCTAAAAGTGTCTGCAAGTATATCTCATTTTAAACTGGACAATAAACCCCGAAAATATTCAGTCTTCTCGTTGAAACTGGTAGTAAACAACCATAACCCCGAGCGATGACTCTGTCGCCAATAACACCGTATTGCGAGAGCAAGAGATGAGAAACACTACGGGCGCAGCGAACTCCAAAGGTACTCGTTTCGTGTAATAGCTTTTCAACGTAAAACTGTCAATAGACGCGGCTAAATTCACCGCGTTTCTTTACATTTTATTGATCCCGTGTCCCCCGTCGTTAACCGATTTGGAGCATCTTACAGATTGCACTCCAGCGCCCAGGGAAATTGGGCAAATTGCACATCGCGGACGACCATTACCCGCTTTACGATTCTTAGTTTTCGATTTTAGCGCCGAAACGGTTCCGTGCGGTTTCGAATCCTTTCGTGACCTAAACCGATGCTGGCGTTTACTCGGAGGTACTATTCAAACATATCAGATGTACGATCGATTTGACGATAAAGAAATTATGGGGAAAAAATGGGGATGTTTTTCGAGTAATAAAGAGCAAGTTGATACTTACACACGTGTGACAGAAATATCTTGTATATGTATGTTAATTCGTATCTTAATGAAACGATGTGCACAAAATTTCGATGATACATGTAAACGAATGTAAGCTTTCTCATTACAATAGATGTACTTTTATTTCATTCCCCTATACTCAATATTCTATCTTCGCCTTATATGCGACACCAGCATGGCGCCATCGGATGCCATAGCTAAAATTTGATATTTAATTTTATTCTTCGTATAACTCATCACTATATAAAATATTAAACTAAAATAGCACTTCAATAGTTGAAACGAAATTTCTGGTGATACACTTTTTTAAAGTACAGAGGATTAACTTATTGTCCTGCAATATCCATTTTTCCTAATCTTGATATCCCCGGATCTTTTTCACGTTTGTTTGAGCACGCGTTTGAAGAGTTCATTTAGAAAATACTGTCATCGCCAAAATTGAGAAATTTGTTCTGTTATCCTGTGATATCTATCTTAACCCCTTGCCCCGTGATTTATTTCTTAACTATGGTCGATGAAGCTACTTTATCGTTAATAATGTTAGGGGAAATGTATTAGGGAAAGAAAAATTATGATGCTCATTCTGTGTCTACGTTTACTCCAAATGGTAACGATTGATAGTAGAAAAATAATATTTAATTTCGATTTAAAAAAAAAAATAAATGACACTTAGATTTGTCAAATTCAGTTTTTCGTCACGAGTCTGACACGATATTGTAGGTCAAAAGGTTAAACCCTGAAATAACGATTAGCCATTTATTCAACATCAAAAATCTTCGTCCGCAAAAGGTAGACATAGAACAAACATCAAATTCCTTTCTCTTTCTAATAAATGGTTGACGATGAGGCAATTTCATGAAACGCAGCTATGAAAGAAATCATAGAACAAGCGATTGATACGTAATCATTACATTTTGCCGAACTCTGATTTCAACGGACGTTTGTGTTTCAGGTTACCGGACTACACCAAAGGCATCTTTCAGACCATCGGCTTCAAAGAGTTCCACAGTTACTTGATACTGTCCGAGGAGGAGAAGCAGGAGAAAAAGGTAATCAGAAGCGGCGAACTGCAACGTCGTCACGTTCGGCGCAGCTGTGTGCGCGATGTGTCGCGATTAGCACCGCTGGAACCGATCTCTTTTTCTTCCTCCGCGAGAAGTGGAGTTTTCTACATCGAGAGGCGAGAATCTTTGAAGGGTTGCTCGATCGCTGTCGCTTCCGTTCAACCCGGCGTGTCAGATAGTTCTGATGCAGGAATTTTGTTTTTCCCCACGTTCCGTTTTACCATTTTCTCCTTTCCATTAAGCAACCGAAAGAGTTCGAGCGGCCTCTCAAAATAAGGATAAAATGTGCGCAAGAATATTTTAGAAAAATGTTTTAAATGAAAGAAACAGATTTTTAGAAAAAATGTGTATGTCAGACTCGTGGTGAAGATTTTCAAGGGAGGTTAACAAACATAAATATTATCCAACTCAACATAACAACATAAGGGGTTAACCTCCGCTTTATTACGTTGACCTATCATATAGAAAAATTGACTCCGTTCACTGTGAATACATTAGTTTCTCTTAGAAATGTTCGAAAAATATATTAGTTAATTATAGTTATCAATGTTTAGTTGATTGCTTTTATCGAAGAAACTCGTATGCGAGAACCGCGCGTTTTTTCTTTGTCCCTGCGGAAACATCTGCGGAACACTTGGAGACGTTACTGATGCTGCGCGTCTGGATATTGTTATGTCCCCCGCTAATTTCTGTGATTCACCTTCGTTTTTACTGGGACCAAGCATGAAACACCGGAACTTGACAGTAATTTCATCACTGTTCATTCTTTCTTCCACTTATTGCAACCGACATAAAAAATCTGTTGATTTAAAAATGTTCCGCCAGCATCATACTATGAACTAACATTACATACATGTAAAAATACAATTTCAATTTTTAGAGGTTGAGTTTCTTCTGAATTCTACTTACAAAGGTAAAATACAGAGTTACTAAATGTGATAAGAATTGTACTAAAAGTAATGGTGAATGTACCTGACTGCACCAGTCTAATTTTTTGTCGTTTGTCATCATATTTATGTGATACAGGCACTCGCATAATTTCAAGACCACAAAGTGTTCTTTCGTCACACGAAAGCAGGTTCTATTTCCTAGTTTTTTTGCAAGCTTATTAAAACATACCACTGTAAATCACAGTTCTTGACGATTTAGACTTCTATGAATTTTCGCCTAGACACTTTACTCTTTGTTTAAAGTGCCATGAGGAAGACCTTCTTGGAATAAGTTTGGCTTAGGCCACATTCCACTCATACTCCACGGAAAAAACTTTTCATGGAAGACCCTTTTCACGGGACTTCGCAGTATCCCATTATGCTATGTACACTGTACGTTGAAAAAATTGGTCATCGACTTTACGTTTCGTGACGTCGCTTTAAACGGAGGCACGTGATTTCCCATTTGCACCGTGAGGACAGTGATGGTACACGTTATCTATTGTGTACAAATTAGCTTCGTTAATAACTTAACTTAGTAGTTTTTTTCTAAAGAATGTATAATTGGAAAAACGTTTTGTGTTTCTTCTTTAGTATGTTAACTTCAAGTAAATTAGCAAATATTCTGATACTTCAATTGACCAAAGCTTTTGTTATCTGTGATAAAGGATTAATTGGTTCATGTTAAACAGAGAACCGATGGTATTGAGGCTGAAAGGCAATTTCATTCGAAAGCAAATGCAAATCCTTTAAAGAATAAAGTCAGACGCAACGACGATAAGTTTACTGAATTAAGAGAACCGAAATTCGGAAATTGCAAATATACTTTCACTCGCAGGGTCAGGAATTACTGCAGAAAGGGATCGACGACCTAAAGCTAGTTACCAAAAGATACGCTAGAACACAAGAGAGATGGATCCGCAATCGTATGATTCGCCGCTCGGATAGACAGGTATAACGTGCCTAAATAAAATACCATGAATTATTGAAAACGTGATTTTCTTTGTTACTACATCATCAAAGAGTAAGGGAAATAATGTAACATAGAAGAAGGTCGCTATTTCTTTTATTAATTTTTAAGTAAATTGCAACTCACGCGTAATTGATGGTTGCAGGTGCCTCCTATTTATATATTGGACTGCACTGATTTGAACGCATGGAATAGTTGCGTATACGAGAAAGCTGTGGCTATAGTGGAGGCATCGTTGAGGGGAGAGAAACCCGAGCAAAAGCCTGTGAACGAGTTTGTCATCGACGTCAAAAATACAGACAGCAGTAACGAGGAATGTCGCTATTGTGATGTAACTATCCTTATCTTCTCAGTATTCCTATGTGCGATTTCAATATGTTAAACAATTCAATTTGTTTTCGTAGATCTGTGAAAAAACATTAGTTGGTGAACAGTGGGACATACACCTGAAAGGTATGAGACATCAAAGGGCTCTAAAGAGGAAGAAGAAATTTGCGGAACAACAGAAAAGCAAGAACATGAAACAGTCAGAACCAGAGGAGTTGAAAATCGATGCAGAAAATCAAAGTTGATTTTAATTTCTTTGATTCTATCTTATAAAATATATGTAAAATAATAATGCCCTTCAAGCATGTATTTCACTCACAATGTTCAAAGACTGATGCTAATAATGAAGATTTTAAATATAGATTATTTTATGCAAAGTCTTTTAAGACTATTACATTAATTTTGTCGAGAGTGACAAAGGCCCAAATTGAGTCGTCAGCAATGCGTCCATTCTCCTGTGATTTAACTAAAACCTTTTTTAACTTCTCACATATATAATTTAAGTTCGTAACATGCATTTTGTCATGCAAGTTGTCTGAATCAAAAACATTCCATTTAAACTAAGATAAATTCGTGCGTTACTGTATTTTAGATTGTAAATATTGTTCGTACTTTAAGTATTTTTCTCATAGGTAGCAGCACTTGTGTTTTTCATTATATTACCGATTGAAGATACACTAATCTGTCGTTGTAATACCGAAAGTTATCGCCGCTGATAAAAGTACTTCTTTATTTTGTGGCGCCATCCGTGGCAATATACTCAAACTTATAGTATGGATTAAGAAAAACACGTATCTATAGAAATTTTATAGGAGGAGAATTCAGGTGCCAAATTGGAACATCAATTTCATGTAGTAGTAATTGAAAAAGTTTGTAGCTGCTACCATGTTTTAGTATTCTTCATCACTTTCTAGCTTGCTTTCCACTTCTTGTCATTGCTTATCTTTCTTTATTATTATTATTATTAGTTAAATAGGAAATGCCATCTAATTTCATCGTATGTATTTTAGTAATTTTCTACTGTGAAATAATTAAAGAAATGAAGACTTTACCATCAATGAGAAATGGGAATTTTACGGTTTGGTAGTGTTCTCCGTTGGTAATAAATGTATATAATTTCTGTAGGTAATAGATACGTTCACTTGCATTTAATATTTTAATTAAGTAAACAGAAAAAATCATGAATGTATAGGAAAATTTAATGTTGAAGCCAAAAAATAAGAATATAACACAGTTTTCATTTATTTATGTTTATCTATACTCTGTTGGTAATATTGTAAATGATACAGGAATGGTAAGGGGCCCTTGTAACCCTTCAGTCATCTGACAAAAATTTATATGGGATATCTAGTCCTTCACTAGCTCAGACTAATCGTAATTTTAATTAAACTTAATGATAATATATAATTATAACTGTGTAAGTATATAAATTCATCTTTAAAATATTGTTTTAATATATTAAATTTAACTATTACTAAAGTGTAGTATGATTGTTACATAGCCATTCTACTACTTTTTGTTAACATTTAAATTATTTTGAAACTTCGTGGTATAATTTTTCATTTACATCTTTTTAAGAAAATAACGCTAATCCGTATCGTCACTTTCAGCCCAGAAAAAGTGAAACGTTCGCCGCATGTATTGTGCTTCCTTTCCTTTTTAAAGATGAAAGCAATTTCTTGATAGAAAGTTTCACGGCAATTGCCTGAAACACTAAATTAGCCCGGCTCTTTCTGTTATCGTGGTTCATGCGACAGAAAATTGCTACGTTTAGAAATTGATTACATACCATTATTATTTCATAAAATACAGACAATTCCCGCGTAATACGAAATTTCTACAACACTGTACAAGAACTGACTAAAATTGACGATAATTCTGTACTAATATGTAGTACCTTTAATTACAATTATTCTTTCACTAGACATATTTCTCTTACAGTTAATAGTAAAATGAAAATATTATAATTTTTTTAACTTTTACAATTTAACGCTGCTTTTTATAATAATTTCTAATTCTACATCGCAATTACTACTTACCACTATATACTTAGAATTTTATGTACTACAACTAATTCACATAACTCGGCATCATTTAGAAACCTAACAACGCTGTTGTACTAGGGTTACATGTACCATTTTTTTTCAGCATTTCGTGCGGTATGAATTGATTCATATCGCGCATGATATATGCGACACTTCGATCACGTATTCCATTCCAGCGCGTACAAAAGAATGCCAATCTATAAGAAAGACAGCGCTCAGTCTGCGTGCAGTCTCCCGTTTACCGTACCAAGTCATTGTACTCGACGTGCATTAGCCGCTATTACATATGCACATTGCATTAAGGCAGGTCGCTGAAGCACGTCAAGGAAGTACTTTCGCGCAAGAAACAACTCCCTACTAATTTCATTGTTTCTATCTCGGAGCATTGTCCATCGAAAGTGAAATGTTCATTTCGTCGATTTTTGAAATTAATGAACAGCCTAACATCACTAATTACAGTAATTAAAATATAATAAATTTTAACGAATAAACATTAATATACGGTAAATCACAAACTTTAATTCAATAAGTAATAGATGAAACAATAGATAAATAAAACATTTAATAAATTTCAATATTTTCGTATAAGAAATGATGCATTACCTTGCAGGAAAAGCTTTGATACTCATAACATGTGATTGGTCGAGGAAAACCGCAGTCCGTTGATAAAAACCAGTGATTATGATAAAAGCACAGATAAACGTTTGAACGTATATTTTTCAACGCCACTTGTAAGCAGAAAAACGATTATTCCGAAAAGGACGGATATTAAGATAATTTTTTGTTTAAGTACGTTATTAATCAGAGTAACATTAACCTAGAGAAAAGTAATGAAACAGGTAACAAACGAAATAGAAATGTTATTTAACACTAGAACCAACATACAGATAAAAACGATTTCTGATTTCTTCTTTTTGCAATTATTAAAAAGGCAACATGATTCTCTGCGAAATTACCAAAGAAGTTGGTTCAACAATATGCAAATGGAATTGTAAATTAAGGGAAATCTCAATAGATGCACTGTTAGTGCTCCTATACAAAAACGTTGAAATGTCAGTTTGACTGCATGGTAGTTTCAGTTTTAAGCGAAACTCGATTTCAATAACGCTGGTAATGTGTCTGGACTGGTTTTTAAATAATACTTGCCAAGTAATCGAGTCTCCAATAATAAAACTCTGGGTTTCTAGTTGCCCGTCGAGATCCGTCGGAAGTCGTTGCCCTCTTGCGTTTAGCGAACGCTATGGCGATAGTGTTTACGATACTCGTTCGGAGACGGGTAATATAATACCTGGAGCTGCTTTGTCGATTGAAACGAACTAATCTGTGCCCCTACACGATGCAATTTCGCACCACACGCTACCTGAGCACCAGACTGTTCACTGGCTGTACGCAATCATCGCTCCTCTATCGCAGCGTATTATGTTCATCGTCGATGATTACTTGACGATTCGAAGTCGACGATGACTCGTGCCAATTAAATACGATCCATGAATATTACAAGCAAATGTTAGCACCTCTATTGAACTTGTCTTTTCTTTCGTTGAATGCTTTTATTTTCAATCGAATTAAATTTCTTTCACATTTCTTCTCTTTTTCGCGATTGCGCGTGTGTAGTTCTTCTTCCTGTATTTTTCATACTTAATTTGCTGTGCCCTAAATATATTTATTGTCTAAAAGGATTTGTTTTCACAAAGATGTATAAATGAATAAATAGATTCACGAGAAACGAGGTTTCACTGAGTTTGATTTCGTTGACCCGTCAATTTCGGTGTTTATAATTTCTGGTTTAAATATTAGAAACTCAAGAATATTATTTATCTCTTATTTGTTTGTTCCTTAATTAACGATTAATTAATCAACACTGATACATTGCCAGAGACAGTTTAATGCTAGTGATCCTTTTTAATCAGTTAAGTACATGTTTGATGACCTTTTAAAATTTACTCAAGTTATTTGTTTATTTGTTAATGAACAAGCTTATGTGACTACCCTAATCATGAACTTTGTTATTTACTTGTTTATTATTGGTCTTTGCTTGTTTATTCTTCCATGCATAAAATCAATAATAATAATACGAACTTCTTGTATCGTGATGCAGTGTTATTGCTGTTTATTCTGTGTTGTATGTTGTTGCTTATGATAAATTTTAGTTTAATGTTTTGTGTGGAAAGTCGAGAAACAGAAGTTATAAACGGGTGAATTTTTCATTTGTTCGATGCACGTTCCCCTTGTTTCACGCAATAACAATTTTAGCTTGGTTCGCAGTCTTAAAAGTGGTTTTCGAGCTGTAATCTAACCTTCTAATCCATCTGCCGATAAGTTTAGTGCTATTGTTACTGGTCGGTGGAGGATTCTCCCTTCTTTTTAAGCGGCGATCACTATTTTCTTCGTTACACGAAAACTATTTTTGTCTTTTCTGGATTAAGGTTTTACATTTTCTACACTTTTCATTATTTCTTGATGTCTCGATTATTATTCTCTTAATCTCGAAAACACAGAACATTGTATTTTACTACTTGGTATCATTTTTTATTATATGACATTTTATTTTAAACTTATTTATAAATTTTATTTTAGTATTTAGTGTATCATAATATACAAAACATGCAATTTTATATACTCTAATGTAGTTTACAATTGCCTAATGATCTACTTTTAATCGTATATTTCCATTTAGCTTTCTACTAACAATAAATTCCGTAATTTTCTTGTGCAGTAGTATAAACTGGATTATTTTTTATTAACAAAAATACATATACAATATGACGTAGTGCTTTAGCTTTTTATATAAATTATTAGGTTAAGTATTTTTATTCACGACGATGTGAATGGGTATATTGATAACGAAAATTCTGGTATTTATAAATGCTATGTAAATAACAGCTTTCGTCCGATACAAGTCAACATAATACGATCTACTATGAGTTCAGGGAGAATGATTTAACATGGTACAAAGTCAGAGGGTGAATCATCTTTCTATGCAACTTTCTGACTGATTTTAGAAAAACAGTGATCGGTTCCGGAGAAAATGAATCATTATTTTTGTGAAATAATAGTCACTAATTAAACAAATAACAGAAAATGGAAATGTTTCTGTACAACCAGTGTTACACTTAATTATATAATAATTTTCATTAACCTCTTGGTTATCTAATTATAAAAATATTACAATCACAGATTATTTATGCGTATTATGAAGGTAATAATCTTCCAGGTTATCACAAACGATTTCTAATCAAAGTTTCATACAACTTAAAAGAAAAAGTAGCCTATTTAATTTATGCAGAAATCTAAATTATAAAGCAACAGTTTAAATATACGAATGAAATTAATTTCTTATCGACTTCGTTATAAGATTCCTCAACATTTCTTTCATCAAAACTTACAATAATCAAAAAGTTCTAGTGTCTACACTCATTAATAATAACACCAATCTAAAAAACATAATTATGCATCGCGTTATAGCTTGCAACCTATGCTCAGCCATCAAGAAAAAAGAGGCAAACGGATTTGCAAACCAAATACACACTTACGAATATTCAGTCCATAAACTTGTCACTACTTTTACTTTCGGTTACCTAATAGCAATGAAAATATGATTTCATATTAAGCGCTAAAAGTCTGCGTTAATTAAGATTTCCCTTCTACGAACGAACACAAATGTACTCAAAGAAAGGAACAATGCATATACTTTCAATTTTCAACGATAAAAACATTATTTCCGAATGTACGAAATGATTCATCGACACTAGAACTTCGAATTGACCCAAAATTACTCGTTGCTAATTCCTTCTTTTATAATCATTAAAAAGTACAGCTTCTTTCCAGAGAAATTCTTAACACTATAACTACCGAGCAATTAGAGTTACTTCTTTCCAATTTTTCATAAAAATTAAAACAATACGTTTCTTGATATTCGAATGGTCTCCTAGTATTGTATCTATACAAATACACAAATTTAATTAAAAATCTTTCGCAAGCACGCCTTCCTAATTTAAATACTTGAAAAATAAAAATTCTGAAGTGAGTCAATTTGACCCGTTCGGTAGTTTTAGTGTTAAATAAGTTTATACAGTAACACTTAAATGAATACATAAATCAATCGAAATCTGAATGAATACACTTTCACAGTTTCCATGAGAAAACAACTCGTTTATCTTCTACAAATTACTTGAACTAATCAATTCGACTGTTTGGTAGTTCTAACGTTAAACGAAGTTTCTGTGAGCCTGAAAAATGTCTTTCATATTATTAATACTAAACGGATGCATGATATTTTATGTTACACTACTGAATTCTCCATAATTCTATTCTGCATAATTCCCTATATTTCCAAAATTTCTGTCGAACTAAATTTCGGAATGCGAAAGAAATCAATTTTTCGTAGGACGCTTCGAATACGGAATGTATTCAGTTATCCCATAAGCTTCTTGCATTCTGTCCCCAACATATAAACCTGCACAAATTTTGGATCAAACTTCCTAAAAAACGAAAGAAACTAAGAAATCGAGGTAAAATCGTGCATAATATAATATCATAGCATAAAATATCACAAATAAGCCAACAGCATTTCATAAAACATAAAATACCATACATTCGTTATTTATAAAAGTAAACATGTAGCAGGATGTTCCGGAAACGGAGGGTATTCGGTTGTCCATAAGTTTCCTCCGCATCCCGCGCAATGTGTCAGAAATTAGTAAAAAATTAGCGTTATAAATCTGCCTAAAAAGGAAACAAGTTGGTAAATTAAAAACTGTAAAGAATGAAATAAAATGAAAGTCAGGATAAATCGTGCATAATTCAATAGCATAACATAAAACATAAAATACCACGCATCGATTATCCACGAAACAAAATTTCATTCGTCGCAGGACGTTTCGAAAACGGAGTGCATTAGGTTGCCCCAAAAAATGTCCTCTCCTAATAGGAACGAAAACCGAAGATACAGCACAGAAGCGATCGTTCGCACCTGGCAACACATCCGATCCCAGGAGAAATCGTCAAGGAATGGTTGACGGAATTAAAAATCCCTGCACCGCTGGTGAGACAGTGACGTATCGAGAGTGGGGAGCACCAGCTGACTGGCCTCTCGGGTGAAACTGTCTCGTCGTTTGCTGCGTGCTGTTGCTTTGACAGTGTTATATCAACCTCTCCGAGAGTGCAGTCGTCGCACTTTCTTTCTCCGCTAATCTCTCTCCGCTCGGCCGGAGGTAACGTATTCTCGGCTCGATCTTCGCACCGATACGAAACTTGGTCACTAAAATTCTCTTATACACAACTAAATAGAATTTTAAATATACTTCAATTTTCAACGATATTTCATTCGGAAAACCAGACGAAGAAGGATCGAGAGTGTATCGGGAGCGGAATCCTCAGTCTCGTCCCTTGGGCCGTTGAAATAACCAGGACACTACCGAGAACGATAAAACAAGTATCTGCGTGCACGACAGACACAACGTGGTTCTTGTTGAGACATTCTACGAATTTGTGCTGCGTGTTGTGAGTGATAAAGCGTCTTATCGTCCCCCGGCAAACTCGAACCGTTCTCGTGTCAACAGAGAGCAGACGTTTCGGTTTAGTCTTTCCATCGATTTTTTTTCGTTTTCGTTTCTTTCTGTCTTTTTCCTTTGTAAAAGAGTGTACCGAGAAAAAAGTTGGTTTTTCCTGGACAATCGGAAGCCGGCTATTAACCAGCAGAACGGAGAACAATGCCGACATATCTGAACAACTACCCTTGAGGCTATCACACGTTCACGCAGATAATAATTCGGCCGTTGAGTCATGCTTTGCCTTCTTGCGCTACGTCTAAAGGTAAATACACTTTTCGCACGGTTCGCTACGATTAGCTCTGATCAAACGGCTTTTGCTCGCGTGTCTTTTTTGTGTTGACATTTTTATTGACTGACTGCTAATCTTTATATGTTTATAATTTCTGGGATACTTTGAAAAGGATAAGATAGAAATTTCGATGTTCCTGTAAGATTTTTCATCTGTCGAAGCTATTATTACGAAGACACTTTTACACTTTTGTTTCAATTTATTTTATTTCGATTTCTCGGTTCTTGATGATGGTAATTCTGAGTAAAGGTTCGCAGTCTAGTTTTTGGGAAATGTATTTTGCATGGTTGTTTTGTACGAGTTGCGAAATTTCTTTTAATTTATATAATTTATAATAATTAGGTGTTTCTTATAGAAACACAAATAGATTATGGGGTCTCTATGTACCCCTGGTTTTTCTGAGTTTCTGAAATGTAAGAAAGTGTTCATATTTAACGGACTTCATCAACAATTCTACTTTAATTCTGTTGTAACATCTGATTTTTTGGACATTCAAATAAAATTGTCCTTTATTCTGGATTTCCTAACATAATTCACGGAAATAAAAGTGTATACACAAAGATCCTTAATCTCGCGATAAAAGCCTACAAATTCAATGTCACTCAAATATTAGACATGCATCGATAAAATTAGATTGCAGTTTGAAGTACAAAGATAAATAGAACGTCCGTTTCACGTTTCATATCTTAATCATAACTTTGTAATGAAATATTTATTCACTGTCCGTTACGTGATACAATTTCATTGTTTAATTACAAAATACGCTGTCAATGTTTGTGCCAAAACCAGTGGAAGGCCTTGTGCAACAATAACTCGTAATAAGGAAGAGAGAATATTACGTAAACCTTGAATAGCTTTTAAATGCTTTTCTGAAATGATGTAATAACACTGATAAAACAATATCACGAGCAGCAAAGGACAAGTTTATTCTCTACCGAAATGTAGTCTCAACGAAAATCTAATTATCACGTACGAGGACAATAAAAAATTATAATGAGCTGGAAAAAAGAAAAAAATGCAAATGTAGTACTCCAAATAATAATTTCATGAAATTAATGCAATATAGAATTAAATGCATTGTCATTACATCAATGCATTAAATGTCATTTTGCATCACAATAAAAATGAATGTCATAGCATTCTCGTTCGTGAACGTGTTAAGAAAACTAAAATACCTGTTCGCGTATTCCCATCGAAATTATTTTATCTCGTACCAAGCGAAGTTATTTCAACCATAAAGATTAAACGTAAATTTGCAGCTAGACCGCAAAGAGAGCACGCAATTTTCGTGTGCTCAAACTATTCTATAAATGTTCGTAAAACGGGTAATTTTCCGGCTGATGTATTTTAGAGGACAGTGAACGCTCGGACTAGAATTCGAATGAACCGTTCATTTTCGTTGTATTATGTATGAATTAATCTGTCGTGGAGGCGCTTTCGCGTCGCGTGCAGTTCATTTCCGCGTGGAAGTCGAGTGTGTATCGGGCTTTCGAAGAAGCAAGAGAATAACCGAGGAATGGAGAAGGGGACAAAGACAGAGTGAAAGACACAGAGAGAGAGAGAGAGAGAGAGAAGGTTTCTACGCCAGATGCACACGGTGCAGCTTTCACGTTATGCAGTTTTTATCGACTGACAAAGGAAACCGCGAAACTCGAAACGAGCGTAATGCATAATTCGCGCGAGGCTGCGCGATGGCTCACAATCAGTTCCATTCTGTGTCCTCTATCGAGGCCGAATCGCTTCTAAAGCTGGAGATACACCAGCAAGTAATTTTCAACTTTTTCTCCAATTGCAATATGCAGTAGTGTTTACACTTTTATTTTATTTTATATTATTTTGTATTATTTTATATTATTTTGTATTATTTTATATTATTTTATATTATTTTATATTATTTTATATTATTTTATTTTATTTTATATTATATTACTTTATTTAATTTTATATTACTTTATTTTATCTTCTTTGATTTTATTCTATTTTATTTTAATATAGTAGGACCTCCATTAACCAAGTCACTATTTTCCACGATCCAAATTATCCAGTACCTAACTTACGACTTAATGAATCCAATTCTTAGGTTACACCTCGAAATTTATACAGTTTTACAAATACATGTTGAAAAGTTCCTCGTCAAATCTCCATCCCCCCTAACAGTTAATCATTCAGATAATTCGAATAATCGGTTTCACTGTAATGGTTATCATAAGTGAATTCAACTTGTCCTTAGTAATCTCAAATGCTTCTACACACGTCATCAGAGTCGCTATCAGAAGAAAATGTTGCAAGTTTCTTGCTAGCGTATGTACTCTTCCAAACATGAATTCCCTCTTGTGCTCTTCTCCGTCCTCTTTTCAAATTTCCCGCGCTACTTTCATGCGCTCCGAAGAAAGCACTCGCCCCTATCTCCCGCAGATTATCGTTGATTATTCCTAATTGCGATTGGACTGGGTTGATTCCTCGTCTTCCGTGTTATTTAAACTCGCAGCACGTTTATCGCTTTCGGAATTCTTTCTATTCGTATTTCTGAGAAGTGGTAAAGTATTTTGAAGTACGGTAAAAATCGTTACACTTCTAGAGAATTGTTCGTTGGTGATTAGTCGATTGCGTGTGCATGATTTGCCACGTACATCCGTTGTTTAACTTTTTAACCGTGCACTTTCGAAACGTGAACATTCATGACAGTGTAAATTGAGACGAATTAAATTAATATAGTAAACACTCTATAATTATTAATTGCAAAAACGTCATAGAAACGCAAAAATTATTAATCACATGAACTCAAAAATGAAAAACTATTGAGAAATGAGACTGAACTTGAATAAAAAATTAATTTGTCATTCCCAGTCTTAACTTTAGGAGTTCCTAAAGAACTCCTAAAAAAATTGTAGTAACTAAAATTATTGTAGCAAAGTATTAGCTTAAATAAAAAATTTCAAATTATTTTGTATATTAATGAGTGACATTAAAAATGGTAAAGAAGATACTTACATGACTAAAGTAATATTAAAAATGACTACGTAATATTAAACACATTTTATACAATTTATATTTACTTATGAGAAACAGAAATACTATTTTTGAAACGTTCAGAAATAAAAAAATTCTTATTGTCAATGAATAATCGCAAATTACACAATTTCTTTATAATTTTCGCATATAAATATAGAAATAAAAGTTATACCTGTTCCATGCTCGTATATTGAAATTTGATTTTACTTATATTATTATTAATACTATCGATGTTATGGCGAAGAAAGGAACGAAAAAAACGTTAAAGCAAAGGTGAATCGTAGGCAAGACGAAGCTATTTCATCGTAAATATTGTCCGCCATCTGGTCTTGGAGTTTATGTTCTCTTTTTTACCGCGTTCCTCGCACAACACGTTGCTAGATTATCGAAGCGCGTTATTTGTAATCATGCCAGTCCCCCCTATCGACCAATTAACAAGTAGGTCACCCGTTCGTTTGTGCTTACCAAAAAAGGAAACCGCGCCACCTGACGAAAAATTCAATCGATCTATCGATTCGGTATAATCCCGTTCGAAATTCCACTTAATTAAACCCTGAATTTTACCGGCGAACACCTTCGCGCGTCTTATTATCTACATTCGCTTCCTTTGCAATTAGTCACAGATTGCATCTCACGTGCCGAATCCAATTAGAGTTGGAAATTTTTCTCTTATCCCGGCAGAATGAAATTTCGATTCGTATCCACATATTTGATTAATTAATGGGAAATGATAATATTCGAATTTAAATGCCGATTCAAGTGCATCCATTGTGCATTTGATTGCATAAAATTCAAGAAAGGCTTCTCTTAATTGTATATTATTAAGATTGTACTTTAATGTTCCAGTAATTGAAGGATATTGTACTGCTTTGGTGCAGCAATCTGTTTAATTTTAAAGTTAAAGAATACATGATTCTTATACAGAGTGTTTCGTTAATAATAAACATCGAAACATAAGCTCAATTGTAAGAATGATTATATTGTTTCTTTTATATGAAAAACGTTTTACGCTTCTTTTTATGAATCGTACTATTACAAACGATTTTAAGGACTCGAAACATTTTGTCGTTTAAATTCACTTCAAAGTAATATTAATTGTAGATCGCCCGTTGTAATAAACAAATGTTAACTCTTTGCGCTCCAAATATTTTTCAATATAATTAATCTTCAATACCACAGTAGTTCATTTTAAAGCGACAGCTTCGAAAACCCTAAGTTTTGGTTTACCAAAGAAAAATGCTAAATATTCATGCATTTCAATTTTGTTGTCAATTCGCTTTATTCCAGTAAGAACAAGAGAAAAAGAATTTCACAATTTGAAAGTTACGCACCGAGGTGTTAAATACTAGAAAAAAAAGAAAACTACACATCAATCTCTCGTTATTTGAGTAATTCAATTATTCATTTGTAGCTTTTGAATTTAAATGTCAAAGCTCGAAATCTCCATTATGACGGAATTCGGCCATGAAAGGTTAATTGCATGGCACCTGTGATGCAAATGGTATTTCTATAGCAGAGTTAATGGAGTACGAAGGGTTAATGTGCAAAATAGTATCTGTAAATCTTGCAACGATCTTAAAGAGGATAACAAAATATTTGCCATTTATACGATGTCTTCAAGCAGACGGTTGCGAGCATAGAGGTTCATAAAATTGCAGCGTCAGTAGTATTAGTTGCACCCCAACTCGCATTCAAATACATATCGCGTGCAAAATAGGTATTGATTTTGACTCGGTAATAGAACCGAGTAGTTGCATTCACTTATGAGCTAAATACGGAGAATTTCATCGATCGGCTTCCATTGGCATGCACCTCGGTGTACACCTTAGCTTGATGGAGCCTTAATTAATTTTACTCTCATAGAATTTCAGCAGAATAGTCGGCGTACCAATTATCCTAATTTAATACAGAAGTCTCATGGGTTCCTTAGAAATTTCTCACAATATGTTGCGTTAAATATT